CCCGCCTCGTCCAAAACGACGCCGCCCTCAATTTCCCAGCGGGGGCCTCTTCATATCAACATCCGAAACCAACCGTCGGCCCCCCCACCAAAAATCACACCGCAGCAACACAAAAACCTTGATGCTATCCAAACCCAAGCGCAGCCACCTTCTCTAATCTCTCTCCACGCAGCCTCCGCCACTCCCCCCCCGCCTCCGCTCTTCCATCCGTTGCCGTAGCCAGTTGGGCTTGGTGTTTCCAGTTGGCGACGAGCTTCGCCACCTGTTTAGCACGTGGGGGTCGAAGGGGATCGCTCTCGAAGATGCGGCGCGTGAGGGCGCGAAAGCTGCGGCCATGTTGCTGGCGAGCAGACCCTGCCAGGCGCCCGAGGGCTCCGACGCCGAGGAGGACACGCCCGCGGAGCAGGAGGTCCAGTTGGAGCCCGCAGAGCAGACGGTCAAGGAGGAGCCCGCAGAGCAGACGGTCAAGGAGGAGCCCGATGAGGCCTCGGCGGAGCACTGCGAGTCGGAGCTTGACGGGCCGCCAGCAGACCAGATGCAGCCGCCCACTTCGCCTGCGGATCCGCTCAGCCAGCAGGGGTTCGACGATGGTCGCGGGCGGGCACCGCCCATCGCTCCGACGCCGCGCGCGGCCGCCCGCCTCGCCCCGAAGGCTTCCATCCCCAAGCGGGCCGCGCAGTCGACGATGATGACGCCGCCTGCGAAGAGGATGAAGATCACCAAGAAGTCACCTGCGGAGAAGTGCTGCGAGCTCTACGCGACGCAGCCGACCGACAAGGCGACGCCCGCCGAGGCTGGCCATAATTTTTGGGGCTGTGGCATGGATGGGGCATCTGGGCCAGTGCAGGTCTGAAGTCGGGCCTGTCCCTCTACAGGGGGAAAATTCAATAATAATATTGGAAAAGCAGGGGTATGTTTTTGATTATGCTTTGACAATTTAGGAATATGTTTTGAAAATGTAATTTATTTTTCGCCATGCCCCCCCCCCTTGTAGGGGGACGCGCCCGACTTAATGCAAGTCAGACACGAACGCCTCTGGGCACTTTCATCCCAGGTCCCGGGGCTCCATGCCCGAAAACGTTTCGAAGCTGTTGAGAACCTCCAACATTACAGGCGACTCGTCGATAATCTTACTTTGGGCAGAACTGTGAATCCCCGCCCACCCCCAGCCATGGTGACGGCCGACAAAACATAGTGTCCCAACGTTTCTGCCGCTTCTGCGCCCGACGCGGAGGAGGTGGCCTTCCCGGCGCCGCCGTTCCCGCAGGGCGCGCCTTTCCCGAAGGTCGACGCCCCTCTCCCGAAAGCCGTGCAGAACGCGCCCCTTCGCGTCAAGAGGTCCACTTCATCGCCGATGAGTGCGGCGAGCCCGCCGAAGAGCAAAGCCGCGTTCAAGGCCACCTCCGCCAGCGCGCCGTCCACCCCTGCCGGCGCTGCCGGCGATTCCGAGGATGCGGAGCTCGAAGCGATTGCGCGCTGGATGAAGTACGGGAAGATCAACTGATGGTGCGCACTGTGGTTTTGTTGCAGGGTCGCCTTGTGGCGACCGGCTCTTTCGTGATCCAGATGGCCTGCTGCGACTCAGGGCCTGGGTGACTTGCGTGCCCGGTGCGACTGCAGGGTCGCCAGGTGGCGGCTGCTGCCATTCAGTGCATCTAGCTGCGCGTGCATTGCGCGCCTGCAGCAATGCCCAATGCCGACCTACGCTTCCGGACGCATCGTTTCCGGAGCGGCGCGCGCTTGCGATTTGCACCAGCAACATTAGGCGCTGGCTGTTTGGGGTAGCCAGACTTGAAACGTATCACCTATCATCGTGTCGCTGCGCTCCTCCGATGCCTTCCATCCTTCATGCTTGGCGATAGATCATCAAAGCTCTACCTTACCCTAAGCGTCCTGGATTCCCCCATGCGCCTTCACCTGTTCCGAATCATCATTCGTCCTCCTGTCCTGCATCGCGCTCCCCGCGCGCCGCCCTGCCCCCCCCCCCCCCCTCCCAGCGCCACTCACTTCCTGTCGTCGACCCCCCCCCCCGCCCGCCCCGCCCCGCCCCGCCCAGCCCCGCCCGCCCTCCGCCCGCCCACCCCCGCCCCGACCTGTCGTTCGAACTTTTTGAAGTTTGCCCCGCCTTTGAGCCGTGGCCCCCTCGCCCCTCGGCATCAGTCCACCCCTCCTCGCGCGGAGTCGTTGCAATGCCTTCGTCGTTGCCGAACAGCAAAGCGATGCGAGCCGGAAGCGGACGCGCCATTCGAATACCGACGCGCCCTCGAACCCGACGGCGAACCGAACAGTCCGAAACCGAACTGCACCCACTGAGACCAAACCGATCATTGCCCCTAAACTGAGCCTTCTTCCAAAGCAGCATCGGGCGCCTGTCTCATTGCGCCTGCAGCGATGCCCCCCATCTGCGCGCGACAGGCGCTCGCGGCGTGGATGAAGAGCGGCGACGACGAGAGCGAGGACGAGGCCGAATTGACGCGGGTGGCTCGCAGCTCCGCAGCGGTGACTCCGAAGGAGCGTGAGCTGAGGGCTCGCGGGCGGGGGCTCGCGGTTGCCTTCAGAGAATGAGCTGCGAATGGGCGTGGAATGATATAGTTGGGCGGGCGGCACGCGAAAGGAACGGCGGCGAGGATAAGGCGGGCGATGGGATTGGCCGTGGAGGGGGGCGGAGAGCAGGAATTTTGCCAAGGGAGGGCCGGGATCAAATTAGAGAGGATCGGGGCAATAAAATTGTTTGCCATTATAATGTTTTCCGGGGGGGGGGGGGGGGGAGGGGGGGGGAGAGAAGGGGGGGAGGGGGGGGGGGGGGGGGGGCGGGGGGGGGGGGGGGCGGCGATCGGGGAGGGGGGGCAGACGGCCTGGGGAAAGTAAGGACTGGGGGGGAGGCAATCGTGTTTTTACATCCGCTTGACCTTGATGGTCTAGTATGTGTTTAACAATTTTCCGTTGTCTCAGGAGGGCTCTGGCCAGCCCACGCCTTCCCATTTCTGCCCGAGGCTGAGGTCAAGATTCGCAGGAAGGCCACGGGCGCCAGCGAGGGCGCCAAGGACTCCAAGAAGGCCGCGGACACCGACGGGGATGCCAAGGGCCCCAGGAAGGCCAAGAAGGCGAGCCAGGGCGCCAAGGGCCGCAAGAAGCAAGAAGGCCACGATCTCCCCCCAGAAGGCCAAGAAGGCCGACATGCTGAAGCGCCTTGCCCACCCGACCCTCGGCGAGCTCAGGGTCGTGCACGCCGCGCCCAAGAGCTACATCACCTACTCCTGCCCGGAGAGCGGGAAACCAAAGCTTTTTCTAGAGATCAACAGTGCCCAGTCGAAGAGGCACGCTTCGGCGTTGGAGCAAGCGCCGCGGGATTCTTGCAAGGGGGCAGGCCTTGACAAGGCTGCTGCGATTGAGTTGCGCTGCAAGTTGCTTGGCAAGTAGGGCCCTGTAACTTTCTAATTTCGGCGGGGGAGGTTATCGCCCAAGGGGGGGCAGTTTGAATAATGCGCCCCCCTGCCCCCCACCCCCCTCGCTCGGTGACGCCCGCAATTTCTCCGGGGATCGACGCGTTCGGGGGGTTCGTGGAATTCAAATGCATTTTCGTTTTCGCAACTACGCAACCCCCATTGGGGCCAGGGTTCGGGGGCAGGGGCTGGTGGATATAATAATAGATGATCGGGTTCGACGTGGGAGACGTAATTCGTGAGAGATAGGTGTTGGAATGGGGGGGGGGTGGACCACTTTCTGCGACGCCGGGCAGACAGCTCAGCTCGTCGCATGCACGTTCGCAACCTCAGAAAATGGTACGCGGTCGTTCGCGGTTGCCTCTGCAGGCCACTGTTTCGGGCCTCGCCCCATGCCTGGTGGAGCGAGCATTGGGGGCCCCAGATTTCGACGGGGGGCGCTTCTCTTGGGGAAATTGCGGCGGTGATGTCTCAAACCCTTTCCACAACTGACAGCTGTAGTGTATAACATACCTCCACAACTGATCTGTAGTGTATAACCTGTGATGTCCTTGTGATTCGAATCCTTGTATCATGTGCCACTGGCAATCTGGACTGCATTGGGCCGATCCGTCCTGCCACCCGAGTCCGCGCTGCCCTGGCAATTGGCTTGGTTGACAGCGAGCCGAAATCGTCGCAATCGGCTGGTAGCGAGCCGAACATGCCAGCCCTATTTGCGGGTATGTAAGACCCAATGTGCGGTTCGGTTTGCGGCCATTTCGAGCGCTCGGCTTGCGGGGCCTAAGAAGAAGCACCTTTCCCACATCAGCTGTCATATGCCTTATTATCTTTGTTGTGCACAACAGAAATGAGTTTGTTTGAGTCCACCGCGGCATTGCCATTGCCCTGCCATGGAAAAACATTCAGATAGTAGAATGTCTTTCTTTTGTTTACAAAAAATGCGTCTTCCTCGAAACCTGGCTGGCTGTCAACTGATCAATGGGATAAACGTGATTGCAATGTGACCGCCTCCTTGGGCCGCGTTTCTATCTCAGTCCAGCGTGCCGACTCGCCAGGCCGATCGCGATCCTGGAGGTTCAGGGATGATGAGCGCTGGTTATTGACAGCTTGGCGGCGCATCAGCCTATGAATGTATCAATGTATTTGGATATGGCCGAGTGCTGCGTGGCGTCCGTACACATAAGAATGCTTCATTATAAGCACGGGAGTGTTACATTGCATTGTAACGCTCTGCATGGAGGCATTCGCACATTGAGCAACATGTCAGAAAGCACATGCAACAGTACTAATCATACGTTAACTGTTTATATAAACATATATCGCGGCATGCGAATCAAAGGACTTATACATCACGTATCACCGCGCTGTTTCAGTTTACCATGGATTTGAACACAACAGCGCGTGATATAAATACGAAATGCAATGCGTAATGGCAACGACCAACGTTGAATTGTATGATCAGTTATCGAAAGAAAAATTTATAATGATCTGGCAACAATGGTCTGACGTCAGATCATTGTCAGGCACCATGTCTGACAATGGTCTGACAATGGCATGGCGTCAGGCATTGTCTGATATAGCATCTGACAATGGCCTGGCGTCAGATTGTTGCCAGATAAGACAGCTGGTCGTGGTCTGGGGACGCGCGCTTATTGCAGTACTTATGCAACAGTATATGTGACATTTATAACGCATTATCATTATGCAATGTGCATTCAAAGTTACAGCTTCATTCATTGCAGGTTGTTTGTACATCGTCTTCAATAGAATCACGCACACAATTTCAGCCATGACAACACAATTGTGACACCATAATACATTGCGCGGCGATGTTGGTTCGCAAGCCGCCGTTAAGAGATCGACGGCGCGAGGAATCCAGGGCCAATTCCCCCCCCTCTACTTTTCGGGGCTGCAGCCGCGGCGAAGGCCGCGAAGGCAGCGAGGGGCGCCGCAGCGGGCAAGGCAAAAGCTAGGTGCAAAGCTACAGCTGGAGCAAGGCTTCCGCGAAAACACTCAACATGACCCCCCCCCCCATCCAGACATTCGCGTTCCAAAACGGAGAGGCCCTGGTCCGAGGAGGAGCGAATCGATCGATCGCGATTTGTTGGCCAACCGATCGCAGGACTTCTTGGAGAGGGGTTCGGGCCTTGCAGCTTTTGCAGAGTGGCCTGGGCAATGTAATTACTCCCCCCTCAACTTGTGCTTTAGATTGGTCTGCGATTGGCAACGTAGCCACCTCGGGTACGACGTGGTCATACATGACACCCTGGAAACCTACGCAATTGTTCTCAAGGCGCGCTGCAAGTTTCTGCCCAGGTCGTGCGACGCGCGTCCGTCGCCCAAAACATCGCCCACCTTGAACCGGCCCGCAACGCATCTCGCCCCCCCGCGCCTGGTCCTCTTAAAGCTAATTTCGCCTTCCCCATGCTTCGTGCAAAATCCCTCTGCGCCTGATCCTCCTAGGGCGTCCAGGTCAGACCTCCTCCTACCCGTTAACTGCCACCTCCTCCTATCCATGCCAAGCTCCCCCGCCGCCTCCTTGCGCTGCCTGTTTTTGGCAAGTTGAAATTCGATTGTTCGCCAGGTGGACTGACGAACAGATGAAGAAGGCCTGCGTGGGGAAGGACATCGATCAGAAGATGGCTATCTTTCGGAGAGCGTTTTAATTGTCTGTGCGGTGTGAAGTGTTGCGTTGAAGTGGTTAGGCCGCTTGTTTCGTCACTGTTGTTGTCACTGTGGCGCCGCGTGCATCGCGGCGTCGCGTTGCTTCTGCCGCTCGCAGAGATGGCGGCGCACGGCGTTGGAGGGAGTTTCGAGTGAGAGGAGGAGGTTTACGAAGAACTAATCAAGCGTTTTCATGTTCGCCCCATCTCTGCCAGCCTGCACGGGGACGCGACGAACTATGGCCTGGTGAAGGAGCTCTTCTCAGACAGAGAGATCAGGCTTGACCCTTTCTACCGCTCAGAGTCATGATTTGGATTCGCGGGGGGGCGAAGGCAGATCCTCAGACAACGGGCCGACGTTCTTAGGGGTGTAGTAAGAGATGGCCAGATCATGCCAG